CATCATCATCATTATTAGTATTATTATTGTTTTCATTATTATAGCACAGTGAGTTATTTTTTAATCTTTCTCAGAGCTGAATGGAAGCCCCGCAGCTCGTACATCATGTCAGTCCCTGGAGACTGCCCCAGCAACCTGCTCTTCTCTGCCAAGCTAGTACGAGCTGGGAAAGTTTCCTTTGAGTACCAGTACACCGACCCAGAGACTATCTTCCACTTCATGGTAAATTGTTAATTATGTGCTGTGTTAGAAATTGTGGTGAAAATCAGCGCTCGTCAAAATAATGAAATCGAAGAAACTGTCATTTTTTCCGCCAGCTTAACAATTTTTGTCAAATTTTTGTTATTTTTCCACTAAAAGATAGATTATTTATGTGCTGATATTTTTCTTTCTTTTTTTCTGTTACTTCCGTTTTTTTTGGGGGGGAGGGAACCTGTGAGGTTGGCGACTATTTTCCACTTCATTCCGTCCCTCCCAGCCCACCATTTTGCTGTCGCATGAAGGAGACCCAATTTAAGTTCAATTCCCCAGCGGGGAAGAAATATGTATAAAGTATCACAGTCTTTCTGCTGGGATGTTGTATCCCTCTCATCTTGGGTTGGCCCTGACAGGCAAGCTTGCCTCCTAAATGATCTAAACTTTGGATGGGGGAGTAAAAGAACGCCTACGTTTAAAAGAGAAAATAAAATGTTGATATGATAAAATAATAGGCGACATTTAATAGTCACAAAGGAAAACAAATGTTTTGAGCATTGTTTACTTTCTTTTGAACATTTATGATGTGTCTAGCTAATACTGGGGTCTTGTATCTTCCAATGCAGGTTTAAATACTTGGCTCTTGTATCTTCCAATGCAGGTTTAAATACTTGGCTCTTGTATCTTCCAATGCAGGTTTAAATACTTGGCTCTTGTATCTTTCAATGCAGGTTTTAATATAGGGCTCTTGTTTCTTCTAATGCAGGTTTCATATAGGGCTCTTGTACCGTATCTTCCAATGCAGGTTTAATATAGGGCTCTTGTACCGTATCTTCCAATGCAGGTTTAATATAGGGCTCTTGTATCGTATCTTCCAATGCAGGTTTAATATAGGGCTCTTGTACCGTATCTTCCAATCCAGGTTTCATATAGGGCTCTTGTATCGTATTTTCCAATGCAGGTTTCATATAGGGCTCTTGTACCGTATCTTCCAATGCAGGTTTAATATAGGGCTCTTGTATCGTATCTTCCAATGCAGGTTTAATATAGGGCTCTTGTATCGTATCTTCCAATGCAGGTTTAATATAGGGCTCTTGTATCGTATCTTCCAATGCAGATTTAATATAGGGCTCTTGTACCGTATCTTCCAATGCAGGTTTAATATAGGGCTCTTGTATCGTATCTTCCAATGCAGGTTTAATATAGGGCTCTTGTATCGTATCTTCCAATGCAGGTTTAATATAGGGCTCTTGTACCGGATCTTCCAATGCAGGTTTAATATAGGGCTCTTGTATCGTATCTTCCAATGCAGGTTTAATATAGGGCTCTTGTATCGTATCTTCCAATGCAGGTTTAATATAGGGCTCTTGTACCGTATCTTCCAATGCAGGTTTAATATAGGGCTCTTGTATCGTATCTTCCAATGCAGGTTTAATATAGGGCTCTTGTACCGTATCTTCCAATGCAGGTTCAGAATGACCAGTGCCAGGCCCTTGATGGGGAGGACAATGACAAGTGGCCAGCGGTCACTACTGAGGGCAAGTGGGCCACCATTGTGGTGAGTTTACACTGTTCTGTCTTCGATATATATTTATCATCTTGGTTTGAGATGGACACCCTGATGAATTGTATCTGTGATATAGCGGTAAGGCACTTTGATGTCACATGAAGGAGATCCGAGTGCGATTCCCCAGCGAGGAAAAAATACTTATAAAGTATCACAGTCTTTCTACTGGGATGTTGTATCCCTCTCAGCTGCCTGGGTTGGCCCTGACAGGCAAGTTCGGAAGGCTACCTCCTAAATGATCTAAATTGTGTTAATGGGGGAGTAAAAACACCCATTATTCTACTTTTATTCTATGTGACAGTTGTTCTTGACGGAATGTGACTGCCATTGTGCCAGATACTGTAATCCATTAAAATATTTTTGTTATGTTTACAAAGAGGACTGGGATCAGTTCCATATAGAATGTCTTCAGAGACTTGACACGTCTCAAAACATTTTTGATCAATTTCTTACACCCTGTTTAAAAATGATCAGTTACTGAAAAACACATTCTGTATTATGTTTTCATCAAAATAGATTTGTAAATATAATTAGTAAAAGCTTTACCAATTTTGCGAAGAATTTTATGAATGTTTGTCCATCCATTTAACTAATTGTTGAACAGGCTGGTGATGTAGCATCCATTTTGGCATGTACATGACCAAAATTCGGTCCTATTGGAGACTTACTTTAAATTCGGAGGTCTTGCCTCTGAAATAACGTATTAGTGTTAATAGGGGGTTAAAAACCATACTCTTGCTTTTTACTTTACATTCTTACATCTCCTTGTGTTTATTTTTTTTTTATTTATTTTTTATTTATTTTTATTTTTAAGATTGAAATTTCTACTGTAAAATTTTATACAATTTCATCTGGTCATTGACCAAAACCAAACCATGCTGTGAAGTGGTATGAATGCAACCAAATTGTGTTTGGCGCGCACATATGACTTATGCAGTTGCAAGGTGTTGTAAAACTCTTACTAACTTAAGCTGAACATCCTTGTGACGTTGTGTCTAGTGCAAACGAAAACCATCAACATGCATGTTTTCTGCAACCTTGTATTTTCTTATAAATTATTCCCAGTGCCCGTTTTCTGAGAGAGGAATGGGGAGGGGAAAGGGGAGTAGATAGATAGATTATCATCGAGTTCTGGTCTTCTGAGTGTTTCATTTTGAGTGTTTTGATGTGGACAGGTGGAGCTGAAGAGTGGAATGAACGTACTGCAGTGGCGCACGATAGGGGCTCTTTCGGAAATGATGCACTCCACAGTCAGCCCTATTCTGATCAGAAAAATCGAAATTACAGGTGAAATAGTGTAATAGTTAATGCTTACTACTAGTCACTGTTATGGCTTAGCCTGTATAGTAGAACAGTGGGAGTGGGTGGTGTGGTTTGCTCCTCCTTTTCTATCAAACATCTGTCATTCTTATCTCATCTTCTCCTTTTTGTGTGTTTGTTACTCTTTTGTGACACTTCTAATCTTCAGCATTTATATGACTTTATTGTTTTGTAAGTGCTGTAAACTACAACATAAAATATCACCTGATCACTGGGAGGTGGAGCACTGTTCTTTGCTCCGGTTTGACTTAGTTTTGTGGAATTTTAAAAGATACAATGAACAAACTCGTTGAACTCACATTTAGAAATTTGTTCTGTTGTATATCAATACATGCAGTAAATTCTAAAAGTGTTTGCCCCCCCCCCCCTCCCCTCATATACCCTCTCTATTTCTCTGTCTCTGTCTCCATCTCTCTTCATCTCTCTCTCTCTCTCTCTCTCTCTCTGTGAGTTTGTTGCTGGTTTGTGTTTTGTGTGATCTCATCCATCTACTTCTTTTCTCTGTTGTTGTTATTTTTATCTGTTAGTTGCAAAGTCTGACTATTTCTACATTAGTTGAGCACTAGATCAATAACAACAACAACAACAACCTGGATCGATAACAAGTGCAGTAAGATAAAAATCTACATAAAAGGAAAAATCACTTTTCACCTTTTTTTTCTTTCTTCGTTGATGTCTGTGTGATTACAGGAATGGCGTATGTATCTTCTTGCACCAAGTGTGCTACTGGCAAGTACAGCTGTCATTTTTGTTCTTTTTTGTTCTTTTTCTCTCTTCACATTTTGCTGTACCCAAATATAATATGGCGTACATATCAGAGTGCACCTAGCTTAGTTCCAAAGACAAGAACATCAGCCATTTTTATCTTCTTTTGCCTCTTCACATGTCTGTGCCCACAGCCCGCCATGATGCGCACATCAACAGTGTGCATCCAGTGTTGTTCTAAGGGAACATAAAACTGTCATTTTGCTTTGGTGGCCGGTGGGTGCTCTGGTGTGGTTTGCTCCTTCTTCCCTACCAAACATCTATCGTCCGTAACTCTCTTCCTTTTTTTGTGTTTGTTTCGCTCTCGTAACACCTCCGAATTTCAGCACTTATATGACTTTATTGTGTTGCAAGTTCCATAAAACTATGACTTACACTAAAAACTGTCATATTGCCTGTTTTTCTCCTTTCACATGTCTAGTCTGAGAGGGATGGCATTCAATTTAGGATGCACCTAAGTCTAGCAATGAATCATACAGCAGCCGCTCTGTCTCCTTTACTCTCTTCGCTCTCTTCACTCTCTTAGCTTCTCTGTATCTGAAGGAAGATTGAGTATGTCGCGCACCTGGTGTCTCAGTAGCACTTACTAAAGTCATAAATTGGTCCATTTTTGTCTTTTGATATTTTTCTATACCTATTGCAAAGTGCACTAAAAGCACATACAGCAGTCATTTTGTAGTTCGTATCTTTTTGTGAACCTAATATAACAACGACACATACGACAGTCTCTTTTCTTTTGTTTTGTTTTTTGTTTTGTTTTGGTGAACCTAGAATACCAATGACACATACAGCAGTTTTTTGTTTTTTTTGTGAACATAATAATATACCAATGGTATGTTTGAAGTCTGTCTAAGAGGAAAGTTTCCCTGTCCTATAGCTTACTTACTTTTCAATTGAATAACTATGAAACTTTTATATCACAGTATTTTAACATGTGTATAATCTCAACACCAATTTATACCTCACTACACCACCCAGAAATGGTCATTATGACACTTTGCTGACATTTACCTTTTTTGTTTGCTCACTCCATGGCGACCAAAGAGATGAAAGGCACACTCTCAAAATAAATTACAGTGTTCCTTTTGTCATCAAATTCACGGTTTTTTTTATTTTGTTTTTTTTAGAGAAATCACCCAAGGAAACACATAGTGATTTTCTAAGGCCACTGGGTACCAATTGTTCCAGTGTCCAAACACTAAGAAAGTGGGTCAGAGAGATGAATGGCAGGCTTGTCAATTTTGAAGATTCAGAGTGTTTTGGACGGCTCAGTTCTGTTTCAGAGTAAAATATTTTGCATCTTCACACTTCTGTCAAAGAAGACAGGCAAAAAACTGATTTATTGCTGAAGTTGTTTTGCCCAAGACGACAGTTCATAGAATTCTTACGAAAGCTTTTTTCAAAATGGGTTCCTCATCCGCTGACTGATAAAATAAAGGAAGATTGAGTATGTCACGCACATGATTTTGTTCACCGGATAGGGAATAAAGGGATATATTTTTAAAGAAGAATCATAACTGATAATAATGATAAATAAATGAATAAGAAATTACATTTATCCCTGTAGGGAAATTTGAGTTAGAATGGCAAACATTCGTACGTAAATGCAAAATTTGAAATACATACACATATAAATACATACATAAGCACACAGTATCACACCAATACAGAACAATTTCAAATACATACCTTACTGGTCCCCACTGTGCAGCGCCCTCTTCTTTTAGCTTGGGTTGTTGTGTCTTGCTCAAGGACACACCCCAGTGACCACCCATCTAAACTCCATGTCACCTACACTTGTTTGACATAACTTTTGAGTCTGAACTCCCTTCTCACTCAACTGCTGGAGCCCCCAAACCACAGGTAATGAAACATGTGTGTATTCATGGGATCTAGAACTGAAAAGACAATCACCAGAATGGAGAAATCCATATGACCCCAGAAAGCTTGACGCAAACAAGGTGCTTTGAAAAGTGATTCACGTCATTTTTATGGATCACGAAGGTGTGGTTTTGAACAAGCCGGTTCTCGTTTGCACAACTGTCAATGCTATTACGGGATGGTACTTCAAACAAAGCTTAGACCAGCAACCAGTAAAAAAAGCAGCCAGGTGCGTTAGAGCAAGGTGTTTTCTTTCATCATAACAACACTCCTGCGCACATTGCCTTGAAAAGTCTCTGATGTAGTGGAGCCCTGGCCGTGGGAAATCCTTGGGCATCCTCACTGTTTTCCAGACATAGCACCATGCGACTTTCATTTATTCCTCAAAATCAAAGAAGGACTTAGGGGCAACTATTTGAAGACAAGGAAGAAATTGTTCTCGAAACAAATGCTGTATTAAGGACTCTGACAGAAGCAGACATGGTCACTCTGTTTAACCACACACTGTTTTGAGTGAAAAAGTGCCTTGAAATCAACAGTTGCAGTGTTGAAAAGAAAATGTGTTGCTGTAGGTAAGTACAAAATTTCAAGTCTGTAAAATAAAAATTGTTGATTTTACGGACAGGGAAACCAACTTCTGGGACAGACTTCACAGAAAGGTCATTTTGTCTCTCTTTTTTTCTCTTCACTTTCTATATCCATGGGTGAAGTGGGGTGCACATCAGATTGCAGACATCTTGGCCTTTTTTTTTGGTTTTCTTTCACATGTCTGGATCCACAGGTATTACGAACGACATCTGTGGTGTAACGGTTGCCTGCTTTGCAGTCACACGCAGGGGATCCAAGATTGATTCCCCACTAGGGAGAACATTTTCTTTTGAGTGTCTTGGTCTCTCTGCTGTGATGTTACATCCCTCTCAGCCCAAGTTGGCCCTGACAGGCAGGGTTGGAAGTTGATTGGGGGAGAGGGGAGATTTAAATGGGGAGATTTACATTTTTGTAGATTTGGAGTACATATCTGTGCACCTACAGTATTGTACCAATGGCATGCACAGTGGTCATTTCATCTCTTTTTCTCTCTGTTTACATCACCAAACCACAGGTACGATGTGCCAGTGGTTGGCGGGTACTCTGGTGAGGTTTGCTCCTTCCTTCCAATCAGACATCTGATCATCCTTATCTCTGCTCCTCCGTTTTATGTGTGTTACTCTCTTGTAACATCTCTAATCTTCAGCACTTATATGACCTCATTGTGTTGCAAGTGCCATAAAATGCTTACTAAAAGTAAAACAGATATTGTGTACCCATTTGAGTGCTTACAGTATGGTACCAATGGTACACACAATGGCGGAAAAATCTTGTTTCAACCCCCGGTGCAGTGTGACTGACTTAGTGTCTTTAGGCCATTCCCAAAGGGGGGACATTTCTCGTTCAAGCACAGTAGAATTGTAAATGGGCTGATTCATCATGTCACGCTCATAACTGTGCCTGATCTGCAACAGGGAACTGCTGCTTTTTCTTTCCTAAACCTTACTATTGTCATTTTCCTCTACTTCTTTTGTATGTTTGTCACACTCTTGTGACCCGCTATTTGCGGGGTGCCTTGATAGTCGAAACAGACTTTGTTCTGTTTAAGCTAGAGAGATGAGCAGAGTAAGTCTGATTCCCTGTAAGGACTTCTCTGTTGACACCCACCCCTTGGCGCTCGTATGACCTTATGCAGTTGCGAGCGCCATAAAACCCTTTACTAAAAAAAAAATTTTTTTTAAAGTCTTGTTTTCTTTTCCTATTCACATTTTCAGGGCCCACCAGAAAACAAAACTCACATACAGCAGTCATTTTGTTTTTCTTTTTCTCTCTCTACATCTCTTTACCAACATGTGTGGCTTACTTGTCAGGGTGCAGAGAATGAGTCAAGGCGCTTTTCTGTGGCACACAGGAGATTTGAGTTTTTATTCCCACACAAGTGGGGAGACAATGTTTATCAAGTAGCTTGGTCTTTTTGTTTCTGCTGAGATATCTTTCTCTCTCCATCCTCGTACCCATAGTGGTATCAGTAGCCTAACCACCTGTAATCTTGAGATTGTGGGTTCAGAGGTTTGAGGTTCAGCACAGACCAAAATTGTGTCCGTGGGTGGTTGGTGGGTGCTCTGGTGTGGTTTGCTCCTTCTTTCCTATCAAACTATTATTGTCTTTATCTCCCCTCCTTCTTTTTTGGGTGCTGTTACTCCCTTGTAACACCTCTTATCTTCGGCACTTATAAGACCTTATTGTGTTGCAAGTGCGTAAAACTCTTATGAAAAAAAAATAATTGTGTCCTTGGGAAAGATACTTTACACGAATTGTCCATTTGGCTGGGCTCTTTCGGAAATGGACGTTAAACTCTGTGGTATCACCTCTTAAATAACTGAATACCATTTTACCATTTTTTCTTTCTCATACACACAGGTGTGGCCTATACGTCAGAGTGCACTAAATGCGCCAATGGCACGTACAGCAGTGGTGGCACCTCTTTCTGCCAGATCTGTCCAGTCAACACCTTCTCCAACCACGGGGCCAGCCAGTGCTTACCCTGCAAGGACGGGGAGTACTCCGGTCAGTGGACATTGCACTCACTTTATCAGTCATTTTCTGGCATGCATTTGGTCGATTTTAAGCACAAGGGGGCTATCCCGTAAAATGCTGTTTTGAGAAAATCGAAGGTAAAGTTTTTTAACCTTGTTCAGTCTCTATAAAAGATGAAGTGTTAACTCTGTATACACCATCATCATCATTCATCGGTATATTATGTAGATCAATACACCACAAACACTATTCTGCAATACACAGACAAAACGCCTTTTTTTCTAATTCGCAGCAGTTTCAAGATAAAGGGGCTTTTTGTCAGCGTAACCACTGAAAAAAGGTGTTTCTCCGAATGTTTAATTTATTCAAAGATGATTCACAGTTTCACTTTGATTTTTACACACTGGTAAGCTAACTGATCAAGCTATTGATTTAGCAAATAAAACGATTTGGTGCCAAGAATGAAAAAAGATGCTTTGTCAGCTCAGGGCAGTATTTCTGTTGTGACAGCACAGTGCAATGCACTGTCTGTTTGGTTCTACTTTATCAGTGCAATTGGCTGTTCTTTCTGATGTTAAAATACATACTTTTATTCGCATTTATCTGTTTGTATTTGCTTGCCCTCTGGGGTTCTCGAAACTTCGATTTTTTCCCTCAAAAGGGAGGATTCTGAGGAAAACTCCTATGTTTGGTCATGGAATGGCTGGCACGTTTCGGTGAAGGGCTTGACTCTTTTATCTCCGAGGGGGGGGTAAACCCACTATGCCAGGGCCCTTTTTGGTACAAAATCTAAAATTGACATAAACGTCTCTAAATTGGATATTGAATCAAAACAAGTGTACCTATTTCGATAATAGCAGCTTGCTGGAGATAAGGAGTTGAAATTACTGTAATGAAATTGTAACATAGGCGGTAAGTACCGACATTATTGTCTTACCCTTACAACAGGGGGCTATTTTTGGATTTCACTTCCCTCCGGCCAAGATAATTCTGAAGCTAATATTACATGTGTCTGTAATTTTTTACAAACCTTAAACTGATTTCTATACTGCGTTTATTAGAAATTTTAGAAGATAACACAGAGAATAATTTTTCATGGACAATTGGATAGATTTCCGTTTTTTTAAAAAATACCTGACTGGGTTTGAGGAGGCTGGTGTCCTGTCTGGGAAATGAACGCGAGTGGGCCCGAGGAATGAGAACTTGTTTGGGAACTATGCGCGACTGGGACTGTAATGTTTAATTTTTAAAGTGAGGTTTCTAAGCAATGAGCGCTACTTACTGAGTATATTGTATCCCTTTTTTTAAAAGTTACATTGTCCGAAGGTAGCTGAACAGTAATGCATGGTATATATGCTTTAAAAAGCTCAAAACTTTTTTTAAATTGTCAACTTACTTATTCACAGATCAAATCAAAGATATGTTTTTTTTCTTCAGAGCCTGGCTCAGCAACATGTACAGAGAAGCCACCTTGCACAGAGTTTGACTACTACAGCTTTCAGACTGCTTGCAATAAGGATGGGCAGGTGAAGATTTCAAAGACAGAGACACTCTGCTGCTCTTTGTTTGCTGTTTGCTGTTTTCATGTTCTGCACTCTTAGCCTCATGCTCTGCAATCACAAGTCATAAGATGTTGAGGCCTCATGCCCTTCACAGTAGCTGGAGCTTTCAGACAAATGCAACACAAACTTTATAAAAGATAATGTGGAAACAATATTACATTCGTAATGACGACAGCATTTTGGTATCATCTGACATGTTTACAGTGTTTCTTCTGACATGTTTACAGTGTTTCTTCTGACATGTTTACAGTGTTTCTTCTGACATGTTTACAGTGTTTCTTAACTTCCTTGTTCCTGACAAAAAAGAAAAGGCCATTATTGTGCTGGCTGGCTTAGAAACTGCAAGTCAAGTGTTGCTTTGTTAGGTACAGGTTCTTGTGTCACAAATTTTGTAGGCTGTCAAAGAACAAATTATGTTACGGATAGATAGTTGCACTCCTGTTGTGCACATTATATATACCTTCTTTTACCTTCTGGCAAGTATCCCATAGTGTGCTGAAACAGCCCTCCCCCCCCCCCCGATAACATTTTCATTATCATATGAGAGTTTTTAGGTGCCTTGAAGGTGATTGGAGTCAAGAATTTTCAAATTTTTACATACCACCACATGAAAATACTAAAAATCAAGAGATGCATACTGTCAAACCTGCTCCAACTATGACCATTTGTATAAGACAATCACCTGCTCAAGCAGCCACTTCCCATTTTTTTTTTACCTTGCAGATTTTTTTACATTATAGTGACTCTGTGTAAGACAGCCACCTGTCTATGGCAGCCACTTTTCTCTTCAACTATGGATGGCCATCTTAGACAGTATCCACTGTAGATACTCTTTGAAAGTTGTTCTACTAGCATTTCAAGCTTGTCGAATGTTAAAACTAAACTTGTGTTAATGATCACATATTTTTGGGTGGCAGTTTGAACCCTATATATATAGATACTAGCTGGGCCCCATTTTGATGAAAGAAATGATCGGTGCATTAACGTCAACTGAAAGTCATCAGCTTACTATATTTACACTCTACTGGAATGGAGCAATAAATCTTGAGATATGCAAAAAAATAGAAGGTCTAGATATTATAGAGATTAATAGATTGATTCTCTATTCCGTTTTTGTGGTTGTACACTCCAGAATATCAAAGATGTGGAATCACTGCACGCACTCCTTGTGAACGGAAGCCTCACTTGTTCACAATGGCGTCTAAAAGACGGACTTTCATCTAAACGAAACTAATGAAAAACTGAAAATCAAACTACAGTAACTTCAGACTCCTCAATAAAACTGTGCACTCTTTAAATGATTCTGAACCACCTTTATTTTTTTCAAATTCAAAAGTTAAGTGGTTGGGAAGTTTTAGGCAGCCAAAGTGACGAACTTGCAGAAATATAATATGTATAGATAAATATATTTCTTCTCTCCTCTTCCACACAGACCCAAATGACCCATCGTTGGATCCAGCCCAAGATCTGCAATGAGAAAGCAGGACAGTCAGTGGTACTGCCTGTGAATGGCGTTTTGGATGATTGTCCCCCTTGCAACCCTGGCATGCACCAGCTCAACATGTCACACTGTGGCTATTGCAATGAGAATCAATTTGCAGGTCAGCGGTGTATAAATTACATTATCTGTAAAAAGCTGCTTACCTGAAAAGAACAATGAATTTAATGAAGGAGTTTTAAACAGTACCTACACATAAACACCGTTGGGCACAGATGATATGTAAATGAAACACTCAAAATCACAAATAGCTCATACAACTTGCCATTCCCTGACTGATATCTCTTTACAAGGGATTGTACGTAGTCTATAATGCGGGTGGTTGGTGGGTGCCACTAGTAGGTCCTACTTCTTTACTCTGTTGTTTCTGTCTGTCTGTTTTTCTGACTTTTTCCGAACACTCAACGGCCATTATTGTGTGAGTGTGCTTCTTTTTACTCAAACAAACAAAATAGTTATACGATGCAAGATGAAAATTCATCACAAGTCAGTCCAACGTCCCCCTCATGCCAGACATAACCGCTAATGTCCTGTGTTGTCATACTGTAGACAGTAAAGCTATTCACAGCAGTCCTTCGCAGTAAAGAAGTAGGACCTACCAGTGGCACCCACCAACCACCTGCATTGTAGACTACATGCAATACCATAGTACAAAGCGGAGGCATGGATTATGTGACTCAACAAGACACAGCAGGCAGTTGGCATGTGCTCTGGTGTAGTTTGCACCTTCTGTCCTGTCAAATATCAATACTTTACTTTACTTTACTTTTTCAATCCAGCGGCCATTTGGGTTCTAGCCCTTCGGTCTGTTGATATGGCAAAGAATTTGCAGGTTTTAATCAGCTGTGCTTTGTTGCTGTATAGAGTATTTCCGATGTCTGGGGAGGCAGGTAGGTAGGTGCTACGCAGGTCACAAAGTGCTGGGCAGTTAAAGAGGTGGTGTGGTACTGTTTCATCCAGGCAGTCGCACAACGGTCAGTCGGGTGGGGTATCCTTGCGGATCCTATTAAGGTAGTCAAATATCCATCGTAATTATTTCCTTCCTTTTTTTGTGTTTGTTAATATCTTGTAACACCTCTAACCTTCGGCACTTACATGACTTTGTTGTGTTGCAAGTGCCGTAAAACTCTCACTAAAACAAGAGAGTAATCACTGCTATATGAGCACTGGCACAGTTTTCTAATTACTGTCTGTGTTTTGAAGTCATTCCATTCTATATTTTACATTTCGGTATCTCCTTATAACGGCTCACTTGACTTCACAATAATTCATGGCTCTGATTTTGCTCTTACTTATTGACTTTTTCCTTTCTTTTGTACTGTCTAGGGCATCAAGGTGAGAAAGAGCTTTCAGTCTCTGGCAAGCTGGATGGCCTGGCTGGGTGGGACATTGTGGGATTTTGCTCACCATTGTTAAATCCATTTACCATCAATAGGTTTGTCATGAATATATTTTTCTCCCTTGACAGATTCCCAGTCAGTGTGTCGGGACTGCGCCGTGTCAACGTCACCAAAGTATGAGGTACACTACAAACACTGGACAGGCATGCCACCTAACATGACCACCCGATGCATTTCTATTGGCAGTAAGTTCATCTGATTTCTTTGTTCGTGTTTTGATTTTTTTTTTAAAGGGCTCTGCAATGAATCAAGAGATTAAAGATTAGTTTATGTTTTTTTAAATTGCAATACCATTGAGTCTCGGGTCATATTTTGTGAATGTATTTTGACGGCTCTGTAATGATTGTTGAATAGTCAATTACTTTTCTTTTTAATATCAGTGGCAGATTTCCTTACTTTCACTGTCAGCATAATTTTCTAGCACACATGGATTGAATCACTCAGCCTTCAATTTTGTGCCTTTATGTGTTTCCCAGACTCGTACAGTTATTTTGCAGTGACATATGTGTACAAACAATCATTATGTGTGTTTATGTGTTTGATTTCCATTCACCAACACCTGATGTCTAAAATAAAGAAAAGACACAGCAGTATACTTTCGCTCAATTTGTCATTGATATATATAAATATAGATCTAATGTGTCAAAATGCAGTGGGATCCGGCGCTAGTCAATTTTAGGGCATATGGAGTATCATCATAAAGCTTGTTCAGTTGTCTTGCTTTCAATGAAAAAAGTACCTATAAATCTTGAATAGAAGTTGAAAATATTTGTGATTGATGCAGGTTGGGGCTAGCCTGATTTGAGAGGTAAAATTAGGGAGAAAATGACCGCCAAAGTTTGGTAACTTCTAAAACTTTAGAGTCCTTGGAAACTATAAATTTATGTTCGTTGTGCCTTTAATCAATGCCTTTCAGTAAAATCCACATTGAAATGTTTTTTCAAATGGACATAAAATGGGCAAAAAAGTGCTGGGTTTTTTTTTCTTATTTCATTATTTTGCGGAGTGCCTGATTATACCATGATGCCTCACATATAATGATTTGGCGGTCTCTGCATTTCCCTTCCTCCCAGTGGAATCGTGCTCCAACACAGCAGGCTGGGTCCCAGCAGGCGATCGTCTCAGGACCAGCTTCGGCCTACGAGACAACAACATCTTCCTGGTGCTTGTGCTCAAGGTGGCTGGATTCAGGGGAGAACCAGGCACAGTGGATGGCAAACCCATAACCCTCTCCACTATCTCGTTTGAGCTAGACTTGCACTGTGAATCCCCCTGCCAGCTCATCTTCTTATCCGTGAGTACAGAGTCGGTAGTCTAGTGGGTAGGCTTTCAGACTTGTAATCGTTAGCTTGCGGGTTGGGGGGGGGTTCGAGGCTGAGGCCCAACGTTGTGTCCTTGGATGAAGCACTTTTCACGGGTTTTCTTCACTTCACGAAGGTATGAATGGGTACCTGGCCACATACAGCAAAAGATCTTGTCAGTATCTTTTAGTGTTTTAGTGCCTGTAGAATGGCGGGGTAATAATATAGATTGTAAAAGCGCATAGAGCTTGCTGTTTACGCCATACAAATCATGGCTGTCGCAAGCTGTTAAGTCCAAATTTTGAGAATATTCGATTTTTACACCTTCTCAAAGCTTTATCAGAGGTGTACCTTTCAACATCACCAATTGCAGTTTAATGATGAGGTCAAAGTTTACAATTTTCTTGCTTGTCATGATTACTGATAGGAATAACACAACAAAAACTAGAGGGTTTTTTTGTCTCAGGTGTAGAAAGTAAAAATATGTGGATTGCTTGCAACACAAATGAAATTTTATTAATTATTTACTTTAAGAGAGCATTGGTCATGGCCTTGCACTCACTGTCGCTAGCTTTTTGTTGCTCACGCTGGCTTGAGTAGTTAAAAGCATCTTCATGAAAGGACATAAAATTATGTAGACCAGAACATCACACAACACTATCACCTGTTGTGATGGCGCAATGCCCACTAATCAGCCTTGGAACAATGAAGGATTGAGGTCTGTTCTATATCCTGTTGAATTGAGGTCTTCCTCTTTTTTGTATTCTACCACAGACTTACATTACAGAACAATGATATAGTGTAGGCTCATTATTTGACTCTTAGTCAGATTTATATATACGAGCAGGCACAGATGACACGAACAAGGAAAACTGTAAACCATGGACAGCTCGTACAATTTGCCATTCCCTGACTGATTTATTTTTATTTTTTCCTTATCAGTTAACCCTTATTATGGATGTGTGGGACACATTTGTCTATCCCTGATGTGGGTTGTTGGCGGGTGCTCTGGTGTGGTTTGCTTCTTCTTTCCTATCAAACATCTATCGTCCTAATCTCCCCTTCTTCTTTTTTATGTTTGTTACTCTCTTGTAACACCTCTAATCTTCTGGCGCTCATATGACCTTATGCAGTTGCGAGTGCGTTGCCGTAAAACCTTTACTTACTACTACTATCCCTGATGTGTATGAGTTAACCGTGTCTGACTTTAGCCTGTTGCCTGTAATAAAAAGTCTGGTATGAAAACTTTGATGTTACTTTATTTCAGGATGCCCTGGGGAGGAATACTGTGTTGCAGACATGGGAGGAGACAATGGAGAAAACTGTGTTTAGGTATGGACTTGGAATAACCTGTAATCAACTTTTGTGATGTTTGTAGCCTAGTGGTTGGCTGTCGGACTTTGCAACAAGTCTTGGGCTTGAATCCCTGTGCAGGCTTGACATCGTGTCCTTGGGAAAGGCTCTTTACTCAAATCTATTATTAATGATATTATTTTCATTCTGTGTGACCATTATCTTTTACATTTCAAAGATGATTGTAATGTTCACATCAGTGTATAAGTTTGCTTTAGAATGGTGCTTGAAGCTGATTTTTATTTTTACTTATTTGTTTCCAGCCACGAAATCTTCACCAATGAGTCGGTCACTTTCACCTGGGCTTTCCAGCCTGATGACTTTGGTCTGGCAGATCCGGGAGATGAGGTCCACACCAGCCGCATGAAGAACCTGGCTCAGATCTACAACCTGAAAGTGACCAACACCTTGTCTGGAGGGGCCTCACAGTGCGAGTCTTGTCCTGAAGGAAAGTCGGCTGATGGGTAGGTCCTGTTCTTTTGTTTTTCTGTGATTTGATGCCATGCTTGTGTGGGATTGGCGGGTTCTCTAGTGTGGGCAGCTCCTTGATTCCTGTCAAACATCTATTGTCCTTACCTCTCCTCCTTCTTTTTTGAGTTTGATATTCTCTTGTTACACCTCTAATTTTCAGCATAATTTATATCACCTTCTTGCGTTGCAAGTGCCATAAAGCTCTAACTAAATACTTTGAAAATGCAGATCAAGCTCAGTTTTGTTATATTTAATTTTTTTTTTTAATGTAAAATTTGATTTTCATCTTTTTTTTTCTGAAACATATTTGTCAGTAGACGTATAGAGCTAGTTCTGGTGTCTAGTTAAAATAGGTGAAAAGGTGTTTTTCAGAAAATGTGGATCTGTGGAGTCTTTGAAGTACTGTGTACTGTTATGAGAAAATATTAACATCTACGGTGTCTAATAGGAAATGCTCCTTCCAAGGTTGCATGGTTGCTACTTGATTAATTGTAATACTTAAGATCTAAAATTGTCGGTGATACAGTGTGCTACCACTAAAAAAATACGCCTTCAAGTCGCAAAGTCTTTCAAAGAGAGGATGTGTTATCTTGTCATTTTTTTTTTTTAACAGTATTTGTAAACTAATAATAATAATAGTAATAATAATAATAATAATAAAGCGCATAACCCGACTCGAAAGCAAGCTCTATGTGCTTTACACTATATTATTTGGAGGACTGGATGAAAATGTATATTAAATTAGAGGAGAGGAAAATGACGTGCTCTGTGTCGTTTTGGCCAGAAGGAGTTAAGTCTCTCAGATTTGCTGAATCATACCAGATAAAACAAGACAAGGAAAGTTTTGTTCCGTGTCATTATATTACAACAGTTTTGTTGGGTTTTTTCCCCTAAGAACTTATCCTATAATTAGAAGAAGAAGAAGAAGAAGAAGAAGAAGAAGAAGAAGAAGAAGAAGAAGAAGAAGAAGAAGAAGAAGAGGAAGAGGAAGAGGAAGAAGAGGAAGAGGAAGAGGAAGAGGAAGGAGGAGGAGGAGGAGGAGGAGGAGGAGGAGGAGGAGGAGGAGGAGGAGGAGGAGGAGGAGGAGAAGAAGAAGAAGAAGAAGAAGAAGAAGAATATAAAGATCACTTCTATAGTGCCCACTCCCTAGTGGCTCTAGGCATTTCACAATAGAATAAAATTTGAATCAACGTTTCATGCATACTGGCCATTCAATGCACCACAATTATTTCAAATACGTAAATCCACTCATAACCTGAAAACTTTACAGCACATACACAAAAAGACAATCACTACGGCTACTGATCTCTCCCCTTTTGTCACACACCCCCCCACAGCTGCATTCCGTGTTCGGATGGTCACTACGTGGACCCACAGAGCCAGAGGTGTCAGGCGTGCCCAGCAGGCACCGTGCTGCCCAGTAGCAACTCGTGGGGGCAAGACTCGTGCAAGAAGTGCGGGCCGGGGCTGCACCCGGTGGGAGGCAGGTCCTGCAAGTCTGACTGCCGCTTCACTGATGACATGGGACGAGAGTATGACTTCACCGAGCTCGACGGGTAAATATGGCAATAGTGTCGGTCAAAAACTGAGTGGGTCTTCTAAAATCAAAAAGGGACAAAAAAAAAGAAAATGTGTTTTACATGTTATTTTTTTTCATCTCCTATGAAATATGCCGTCTTTTTTTAAAAAGCAAGGCACATATCAACAGACATGCCATAATACAAGCCAAAAAGTGTTTGATACTTTGAAGACGAAGGTCTCAAGGATAAAACACTTTATGGATTTGTACTGCAGTGTGTCTGTTGATATGTGCCCTGGGTAATAAAAGAACAAACCCCCATTCCCAAAAAAGAAAAGTCATTGCACCATAGATGCTGTCAGGGCGGAAAAATAGAGCTCTAAAATACTTTACTGATCTCTCAGGATCGTTCACATTTTGTGGATGGTTGGGGGGTGCTCTGGTGTAGTTTGCTCCTTCTTTACTATCAAACACCTATTTTCCTCATCTCTCCTTCTTTTTTATGTATGTTACTCTCTTGTAACACTTCTATTTTTCGGCACTTATATGACCTTATTTTGTTGCAACTGCCGTAAAACTCTTACTAAAATTCACATTCCAAAAACTCTTCTCTGCAGGCTTCATTATGTGTCAGGAGCCCGACTCTTCACTGCCAGCGGGACCCAGTACTACCATAGTTTCAACATTTCCTTGTGTAACCATGGCAACACACCTCTACCCACCTGCGTCAACAACGTGTCTGCCGATGCAGTGGTAGGTTTCTCTGTTGTTCTCCCTAGTCTTGTTATTTACACTGTTCATTTTTTTATTGCTGTGAATTTGTTTCAGAGTTACGGGTTGCTCTTTTTCCAGAAGTATGTAAACTTTTCATTTTTTTTGGGAAGGGGTGGGGAGTTAGCTCATTAGCTCATTGTGACAAATAGCACTTAATACAATTTGTCAGTATGACCCAAAAGGGACTCCCTTCTTTCACAGCAAAATTTATCTGAAGTTGGCACTGGCCAAGTACAAAATCTAACAAGAGGTAGCGATATATTGGTTTTCTTTCATTTCTGCTTGAATGGGAACGCCTTTACTGAAATAAATTGAAAAATGTTCTTATAAAGTGACATGCTTAGTGCAGATGGACATGGGGGAGGAATATCATGGTTACCTCTGTGAGCAATCATTTTAATAGTACTTACCTGGAGGTGTCGTCTCAGACTCAAGAGGTTGACGTGTATGTAATGACCCTCCATCCATTACGGTTGCGAGCTGCCATTACACATTTTGCTATACCCAGGTTGGTCCATGTTTTAATGTATTTCAATAGTACTGGGTGGTTAACAATTAATGCCAGGAGTGAATGTTTACTCATCGTTACGAGCAAGTAAACTCTTTGTTTCTAAAGTTCTTTCAGTTTTGATATGTGAGGCATCGTAGTGAAATCAGGCATTCGTCAAAATAATGAAATCGAAGAAACCAGCATTTTCCACCAGTTTGCCAATTTTTATCGTTTTTTGTTTTTGGCTCAACACTTTTTATGTCCATGTAAAAATGCATTTCTGTATGGATCTTATTGAAAAGTGTTGATTAAAGGCGCGCAAAAAATGTAAATTTTCAATTTTGCCTGTGAAACAAGTGACCCCCTTTATTTGCAAATATCTCAACTTCTTTTTTCAAGAAAGATTGGTAATTTTTTCACTGAAAGCAAAACAAATGAACAAGTTTTAAGATTATAGGGCTTACCAATAACTCCAATTGCCCAAAAATTGACCAGCGCCTAATTCCACCTCGTCATGACACATGTTAGATAGTCTGACTATCACTGTCTTTCTGCACTTGATATCAACTTGGTTTCCCATAGCTATAGTAAGGTACAGAACTGCTGTTCACACCATCATTGTGACTTGATTAATTAAGCACTGGGCGTTTCACAACTTTACAGACCCTTTGTTCAGTTTAGTCAATAAGCTCCTATTGTGTACTGTGTGTGCCGCCCTCTACATTTTGTCTGTATTACTTTATATACGGGTGCTTTTCTGGTGAGATGTTGCTTTTGTTGTGCAGACTTTTCATCAAGTACGACTCAACAGAAACAACCACGAATATGCCTATGTGAATCGAAGAAATTTTGAAACTTACATAAAAAGTCAGAGGGTAGTTTATCTAATTTATTTTCTACCTTATTTGGATGAGTCTAAGAATGAAGTCTAGGGGGGTAGGTTTACATCTTATCGTTCATTTAATTAATTTCTTTTTCTTTTTGTTACATTTGTATTATATTGACATCACATGTTTCAAGGTATCGCTGATGAATCGGGGGTTTCTTTTGCAATCTGATTAAAACTGTATGTTGTTTTTTGTGTTGTTAGGAAAACAGTGGTGGGGTGAGGGGGGTATAATTACGTTGATTTAGTCGGGGGTTTTTCTTCTCACCTATTATATAGGTCCACCTTTCATGCCATGATTTTTAGGTTCATGTTTCTTTATGTAGTCAGTTGTGAGATTTAATGAGCCAAGGTCCAACAATGTGACTTTTACCCTCCCATATCTCAAAGATGCACTTTGAGCTGCAGTGATGACAGTTAGGCTTCAGTTGCATATCGCTGGTGTGCAAGGAGGAAACATTTGTCCAGGAACACACCGAACAGCTGCCAGCAAACCATTGACTGAATCAGCAGGTCTCATTCTCACTGACAAATACACACATTAACTCCATGCCTTGCCAAAAGACTAAACTGTGGTCCAGATGCGTTAGCAGTATATTGTCCCAGTGCTTTATGTCCCATACTACTGACCTCTCTCACTGAAGCCTACCCCTGCCGACATGGCAGTTTGTACCACTAACCTCGGCACTCATGCCGTGTCGTCTTTTGTCGCTGTTGTAAAACCTGTAAGCTTGATTATGACCTTAGCTCTTTATCATTTATTGTGAGCAGTTTAGTTCTAATGTCTAACTTGTCTCAATTTTTATCTGCAACATGTTTGACATACCATGGTTACGATGCAATCTTGCATTGCTTTACCATGAAGTGAAAGATTTTTTATGATTGTAAATCATCATATTTTTATTGTGCTCACGTTGTGACCCTCAACTGAAAAAAAAGTAAATTTTAAGAACAATCTATTCTAAAAAAGGAGGCCGTTTGTGTTTGGTTAGTTTGATAAAGAGTTAGACTGTAAATTTTTTTTTTAACGTTCAATAAGTTTGTCTTGTGTCAAGATTTGCTTTTGGGTTTTATGATTGTTTGAAGGCCGATTCCTTGGTTTTCACTGAATGGGATAAATAAAATAAGAAGAAAAACTTGCCCTATTTCAGATGGTAGGATCGTTAAGTTGTATGTTAATTGCTCAGTCATAAACACAGCGTCATCACCAGAGAGATAAAAGCGTTGCTCTCTGTGCTATAGGGGCCTACCAGAATACTGTTTAGTTGCTGTCCTGTGAAAGTCATGGGGGAGCTTTTATTTTTTGCGGCAGTTTGCCTTGGCTTCCTCAAAATGGTGAGGTTCTTTGGTTGGAATCGGGACAGTGTTGTCACCTGAGTCCTACCTCTGATGGTAGTTGCACTGGTTTGAAAATCAACGCAGAGGTCATGCAGCTGTTCAGTCTTTTGGACTAATAGCTAATAGTTTTATCATCCGTTGTTGTCCTAGTTAAAGCTCTTTTAAAGAATTGTGTGGGTGGTTGGCAAGTGCTCTGGTGTGGTTTGCTCCTTTTTTCTTTTCCAAAATCTATCGTCCTGATCTTTCCTCCTTCTTTTTTATGTTTGTAACTCTTTTGTAACTCCTCTAATCTTTGGCACTTATCTGACCTTATTTTTAAAGCATTATGGTCACTTTACATGGGTTCTTTCTTTTGTTTTTTGTTTTTAAATAAAGATGTCATGAGGGGTTCACTTTTTATATTTTTCTATTCCAAAAGCGTATATTGAAAATTGGGAAAAAGGTATACTTATGAATACTCTTTGGACTCGCATACGGGTTCTTTCAAGTTACTAAATTTAACGTTCAACCACTCAAACTTGATAACCTGGTTTGGTCCAGTAATGTTAGAGCTCTCTTTGTGTGAGCCTTTTGACAATAAATAATATTAATATTAATTTATAATAATAAGATGTGGTCTGTATAATTCATGGTTTTAAGATCTCAGTTTTGGTAGTAATCTTTGTATTGTTATTGTTATGGTACTGAATTTTTCTGGGTGAATGACTCATACAAATGCATATAATTCGTCACCCGTGTGGTAAAACCAGCTGACCCTCAATTGTTTTTTTATGTTATTAAAATTATTATTTGACAAATCAATAATAAATTATCGGTTTCATCTGCTCAGTAAAAGCCAGGTCTAAATACTCCTGGAAAAGAAATAAAGCTGGATAACCCACCAGCTGCTATGTTACTGAATGATGTTACCAAATACATTTTTTGCTTTTGCTGTAAACTTTTCTTCACTGGGGTCAGCTGTTCTCATCACAAGGGCGACAATATGCTCATTTTAACACACTCTCTGAGATTATATGAACTGAGAGCTACTGTGTTGACTTAATGGGTTTCAGTTTTCATTTCCTCTTTTTCCTAATTGCAGAAACTAACAGCAGAATTTGTGTGCTGGGAAATATAATATATTTAAATACTGTGTGGACATAATGATACGTCAAATTAATTGCTCTGTTTTAACAATCGTAGTGCCGTTCTGTGGCTTTTGCAGCTGTTCAAACATCACTACTTATATGAACTCATTGAGTTGCAAGTGCCTTAAATTCTTGCTAAGACTAAAAAACTGTTTTATCATAGATCATTGAAATGGTAGTATGCACAAAATATATTTAACTTTAACTGGAGCTGTGAGTTTCAGGTGATGGAACAATGGGCCTTGATGTGCTATGAGAACTTGGATGTTTAACGTAAATTATTGTAGTGATTCTAATCCAGTAGCACTGCAGTGGAGAAAATATTTAAGCAGCCAAGATTGAATAATTCGGGGGGGGGGGGGGGGGGGGGGAGAGAAAAGGAATGAAAATGAAGCGAAGATGATGAGATTTTTTAAGCTCTTATACTCGAGCATTTGCATCAGTCACAATGTTGCTAACCCTTCATATATATCCATATAATGCACAATTAATTTGTAATCAAATAACTGCTCTGATAACATTTTTAACATACTTTAATAGAACGTACTTTGATACAATTTAAAGTTTTGTTTTAACTCTTGGAAATCTTTGATATTGCTTTTTTGCTAATATACCAGGTGCTACAACTCATATTGAGTTATTCTCTGATAAAGGCACACACATGTGTGTTTCTAGTCATTCTCTGTCCTTTATTTCCTACTTCCACCCCTCTTATTCTTTTTTCTTGAATATATTGAAAAAAAAAGTTGTGTCTGTTAATTTATGTGATTTCGTTACATGCTTTGTGGGTTTTTTTCTAAGTCCCTAGACCGAGAAAAAAGCGAGGAGATAGCGGCCGCGAAAAATGTAGGTTTAATCCAAGATTTGCAGGGAGAAGTCTAGCTTGAAATTGGTTGAGGACCCTTACAAACTTGCTTCTTTTTCTTTTTTCTTTTTTTCTTTTCTTTTTTTTTTTAAAACACATTTTTAAAAATGTTTTCACCCCTTTTAAGAAAAAGAAAATTTGGTTTTATTGAATCTTTTCCTCTCTTTTCCATTTTGTTTTGGTTCAAGGGGCTATTTTGCAGGCTGCTGTCCTCTCTCCAGTAGTCTGTGATTGTGAATACCTTCCACAAACACTCACAGACACTGTCGTCCCAGACAAGCCTCTGTTATTTTTACGTTTATCTTGTCTGTTGCCTTTCTTTTTATTTTTACAAAAATACTTTTCAGAATTTAGCATGCCTTTCATTCCAATCCGGTGCTCACACTGACAGTGCTTTAGATGACCTTTTTGTGTTGCAAGTGCCGTAAAACACTTACTTAAACAAAAACTAAACTAAACACTCACAGTGCTGTGACTGTCCACCACTGCCCCACGCACACATACCTCAGCCCTTTATTCTACTCCCGTCAGAGCTATCAGGAATCCCAACTTGGTCCCAGATATCAGCTCAACAGCAAGCTCTTATGCACTTTACAGTCTATATTATTACCCCTGCAGAAGCATTTTGAAACAATCTCAACTTCCTGGGAAACATAGTGCAAGCTGCCATTTTGTTAATAGGCACTAAAATACTGAGAAGATCTTTCACTGTCTATGGAAATATTTTGCCTGGGGGAAGGATAAAGAAAGAGAGAGATGTCTTTAACGTTCACAGCCCAGCCTTTGTATGTTTCTCATGAGTTTGATGGAAAAAAAAAAAAAAGAAAAAAAAAGAAGTTGATGTCTGAAATGTTCCAAAACTTTGCAGAATTTCATAAACACTTTTCAGACAGTCTTGTCATATAATTGATACAGGTCTTTTCATTTTTAAAAGCCAATTTTTATTTTTGCAGTTTCTTTTTCCTGCTGTCTCTTTTTCTTGTGAATTTGTCTTAATGAATTCCTTGTTGGAAATATATGAAATGTGGTTTTCCAGAATGGCTTTTCTGGTATTTTCATAAGATCTTATCAGAGCTTTAAAAATTTTTTTTTTATATTGATCTTTCATTTTGGTCAAGGGTGTCTCATTTTATTTTCTTTCATTTACTTGTGTTTAATAAGGGGGGGGGCTTACTGTATTAATTGAAGATGTACATCGGTTGTACTTGTAAAAATAAATTGATGAAACTACTTTTCTTTTTTCCCGTGGCTGAGTGGAAAGTCTCAATTCTCATTTTTTTTAAAATGGGGAGCACTTTTTATAAAAAGTTAATATATCAGATTTGATTTTTTTTGGGGGGAGGGGTTGTTTATGCCAGTGAACTGGGTTTTTTTTATTTTCTATTATTTCTGATCCAAATCCTTTTTATTTTTTTATTGGATGAGGAATGTGTTTCTGTTTTTAATATGGGATTTTTTTATGGTGACATGCTCTTCCTTATTTGGAATTTCCGTTTTACCATTCATTTGTGGGTTGAGGTTCACATTTTAAAACATTTTTTGTTTTTAAAAAATTCTGTTCGTTTGGTGCATAATTTGTATTCTAATCCCTAACTACATTTATCTGCTGTCAAATTAAGAATACAAACTGATTCCAACTGTAACATGAAGTCCTTATTAGTTACATATACAATGCATGAGATGAGATTAAGATCAACGTTATTGATTATCCTGAGGAAGAAATTGTAAATCAGTTCTCATAAGTATGTTTCTCAAGATATGTGGTCAAGTATAGGCTATTATCCCTGCACTCAGGTTACAAATGTGGTTGTCCTTTTTCGTTGAATTGAATGATAGGAGTCTTTTTACACTGGCAGTAATGTTTTGCATTTTCAGTTAATTGAATCAACAAAACGATAGTATAACATTTGAATACCTCTTAGTTGTCTTGAAGTTTTTGCACTAACAGTGGTGATATACATTTTCTGTTCATTTAATGGACAAAACGATAGCACAACATTTGAATACCTCTTAATAGGCTTTAATTCTTCACACTAATAGTAGTGATTTGCAGTTTCAGTTTATTGAATCAACAAAACAATAGCCTAACATTTGAATAACCTTTAGTAGTCTTGAAGTTTTTACACCCACAGTAATGGTTTGCATTTTTTTCTTTTCATTTAATGGACAAAACGATAGCATAACATTTGAGTACCTCTTGAGGCTTGAAGTCTGACTGTAATGATTTGCATTTTCAGCAGTTTCATGGATCTTTTCTACTTTATATGCATGTAGTGTTTGACACTTTTGATACAAATACTATAAACTTGTGCCACTCATTAGTCATCCTCTAAGTTATCCTTTTATCTGTTGTAAAGATGGAGAGGATGAGATTGTCCAAATGCCTTTTTCAAACAGGTTGATTTTGTGATCTCAGTTACTGAAGCACCTAAGATTAATTATGTTCAAAGCTGAATCGTGACCTGGACCATCAATGATTTATTTATAGAGGCACCAGCCATCCATGTCCAGGTGCTGTTTTAGCCTAAACTGAATCATATTATCTCTAATCTACACTTATATTTAGTCCATAAATAGCGCAGAATTTCTCTTGTACTATTCTTGTGCTTAGAACTAGAGTAAAAATTATACCTTATTGAATTTTCATATAAAACAGGTCTCCAGAAGCTGTAAAATTATACCTATTTCCATTTCTTTCTAATAATGTTTGTGTAATTAAAAAGAAGGCATATATACCCATTTTCCCCTTAAATATAGAAGTATCCTTTCTCTCTAAGGTGTTTGATTTTGTTGACAAAGTTTCATTATTTCACATTCTTGTATACCTTGTGTAAAACATCTCTTTCTCTTTGTTTTTTAGAGGTTTCGTTTTAATTTGTTTTAGTTTTTATAACTTCCTCACCTTTAAACAGGACGTATTATACAAGTGAACACTGCTGTGTTCTCTTTTTGTTCAAAGACTGAAAAAACTGTTGACTGATATTGTCTAGGAGAAGTTGCTGTGTGACCAATGCAAAGAACAAACATAACCTGTCGTTTGTTTGCAATTTTTTTTGGTGTGTTTATTGAATGAGACTATAGCTCTTTTGTTGTTTTTTAAAATTTTCCAGCTCATAGGCCAGCCTAGCTATTTGTCCAGCATGGTGTGTCGGTCAACTCTGGTGCCCCAGGGAGACCCAGAGAAACCGGTGGTGTCCACCCAGCCAGTCAGGTGAGTGGTGCCGAATGCTGACAAAACGTCTTTTTCTTGTTCATAACAGTGAAAAAATGGTGAAATGGTGTAGGTTTAACGCCTCTATCGACACTATTAGGTTATTTAAGAGGCGGGACCTCCTGAGTTTAACATCCATCTCCGAAATTACCAAGCCGAATGGGAATTTCGGGTAAAGTGACTTTCCCAAGGACACAACGTTGGACCGAGCTGAGGCTTGAACCCCCAACCCGCAATCTCATGATTATGGGTCTGGTAGCCTAACCACTAAGCAACCAAAGCCACTTTCATAACAGTTTGGAGATAAAAAGCTGTTTTGTCTGCGTTCACATTTTAAAAATGAGTTCTTTCGAAATTTGAATTCTAATTCATTCAAAAACTAGTCACAGTTTAACTTTGATGATTTTTTTCACACAAGTATGGCAACTGATCAGGCTATTGATTTAGCAAATATAAAAAAATTGGCGCCAAAAATTTAAAAAGGCATTTTGTCAGCTTAGGGCTGAGTCGTTCATAGTTTCCATCCAGTAATGCTTGTTGTGTGGGTGGGTTTGACTGGCTCTTTTTATTCACACAGCTAGTCTGGTCAGCGGTGCCCGCGTCTGTGGTTTAGCGGTTAGGCCCTTCACTGTGGCATGCAGGAGACTGCCCAAGTTCAATTCTCAAATGAGGAGAATTGTTATCAAGTATCTGGAGTCTTTCTGCTGAGGTGTTGTATCACTCTCAGCCCCAGGTTGGCCCTGACAGACATGGTCGGAAACCTGCCTTCTGATTGATCTAGATTGTGTTGATGGGGACATTAAAGCACCTACATTTTATTTTTTAAAGCAGCGGGTCAGTTGTGTATGTGTTCCATCCAGGAATGCTTTTTACGTGTTTGACTGCGTATTTTCACTGTTACTTTGGGAAATTCCTAGTCGAGGAGTAGGGAGTATAGGGAGCTGTTTTGGCAACAAAATAAGTTTCATCCCTGGTTTAGTGAGTGGTTGGTGGCTGCTCTTGTGAAGCTTACTCCTTCTTTCATATTGGATGTCTATTGTGCTACTAAAACAAACAAGGTGCTCCTTCCACTTGACTTTGTTCATCATAGAAGATGGATGTTAAATTCAAATCTCCTGCCTCTTAAATGTTACGTCTGTGTAAGACCAGGCTGGTACTCAAGTCTTTCTCAAAGATGATACACGCAAGCCATGCAAAACTTATGCTTCAGATGCACTTCAGAAACCTCAAAATCAAAGGGTAACTTTTCTTGAAAATTGATTTGTTGTTTTTTTAATTCCATCATTTTGCTGTTCTGTGGCAGATGTATGTCAATGTTAAGACGTTGCAATGTTTTATATGGAGATAAAGTGCAATAGGAAAAAAGACCTATTGCATCCAAATCTTTTTTTTTTTACAGCCTGGGCACCCATCTGACCAAGATCGTGAGTAATATCAGCCTTCTTAAGCAGTACGAGGAAGAAGGCTTACCTTCTGAAGGTATCTAGTGCATCTTTTTACAGTTGTTTATGGGCGCTCATATGTCCTTATTATGCAGTTGTGAGCGCTGTAAAACTTTTACCAGGTGTGAGTGGCAGGTGCTCTGGTGTGGTTTGCTCCTTAATTCTTTCCTATCAAACATCTATTATCCTGATTTCGCCTCCTTCTTTTTTTGTGTTCGTAACTCTCTTGTAACACCTCTAATCTTTGGCACTTATATAACTATATTATGTTACAAGTGCCGTAAAACTCTCCCTTAACTCTATGCCCCCACAGGACGCCGATCGGCAACAGTGTGATACAGCAACAAAAACATTGCAGCAATGATCTGGTTTTTGACATGCGCACTTGTTTAACTAAAATGTTCTTTCTGAATGGTTTTGTGTGGCCTTTGAGGTCGGAAATGAGTTTGTATACAAAGATTGAAGTAATCTTTTTATTTTAATGTTGAGTAGACATACCATGAATTCTGCTTTACTCTTACTCCAAGATGAGAGTTCAGGTGATGAATAAGCTGGATCTAATGTTTTCAGATCCGATTTTTAATTCCTTTTTGGTAAACATGCTATCATCGCTTTCAATTTTCTCAGTATGCTGAAAATTTCGTAATGGTTGGGGTATTTTTGCCGTTGTACAGGTGTAGTACTGATGTAGGCCTACCGTATCTGTATCCTGGTCCGTGGGGACAAGTGTTGTGCGCTCTGCGCCCTGCATGGGTGGAAAGTGTTAACCGAAAAACTTTTACAAAACTAAATGGTGGTGCAATTTCAAACACTGTCAGAGCAGTGGCTGAAACCAAGTATTTTCACTCACTATTTGGACTGGCACTTTGGCAATTTTTCAAAGCCCAGACTGAATCCTTCTTGCCCTGACAGTGTGTAATCTGGCCACCCCGTGGTGTGAGACTCTTGCGGGTGGTGGGCGGGTTCTCTAGTGTGGTTTGTTCCTTCTATTCTGTCAAACATCTATCGTCCTAAATATCTCTCATCCTTCTTTTTTGTGTTTGTTACTCTCTTGTAACATCTCTTATCTTCGACGTTAATATTACCTTATTGTGTTGCAAGTGCCATAAGACGCTTACTAAACTAAGTGTGAGACTCGTGCACTTTCACTTGTCTTCACTGGTTTGTAATAATATTAATTGCATTTATATAGCAAATATCCACACTCTTCAGCATGTTCTATATTCTTTACAACTATTATTGCCCCAACAGATTAGATGACTACATTTTATGTGGAATTTGTTCATTGTCTGTATGGAAATGTGAATTTCTTGAAGGTCAAGAAATGTGAAGGAATCGTAAAAAAGATAGATGTGATGAGAATATATTATTAATCCTTCTTAGGAAGAAGTTAACTTTCCTTTTTTCAGCTTAATTTGTTCAGAGAAAAGCAATAAATGGCTTTCCAAAATATATCTATATATGTTTGTAAAAATTGTTCTACCATTTTGAATGTGTTGAAATAAAGTTTTCACAGAGATGCATCTCACTTAAGTTGTTTCTGGATCGATAACAACAACTTAAGTTGTTTTTTTTGTATGTTGAAAAATTGTAATTGAAACCTAGATAAGATAACTTTGCACTTTCGTTTTTTCATTGTTGGAGCATTGGAGGTGTTTTTGTTGTTTTTTTTAGATGTAAACCTTTTACTTTAGAATGTAGATATTCACTAGTACTCATGGGTGGTTGGCAGGTGCTCTGTGCGGTTCACTCCTTCTTTCCTATCGGACAACTATCTACTCCTCCTCCTCCTTTTATTTGCATGTTGTTCTCTAATGACACCTCTAATCTTCAGCACTTATAAGACCTGTTTGTGTTACGAGTGCTGTAGAATTCTAACTAGAAAAAAAAAAAGAACTCAGTCAGTAGAACTCATATTTTGCTTTTGTCTGTTGCAGATTCTGAGCGAGATATTCACTTTTACTACGAATCAGGAAGGTGAGTGTCTTTCTTTATTCAGTTGTAATGTATCCTTTGCCTGTTTTTACCACTTGTACACAGTGGTTGGTAGGTGCTTAGATGTTCTATTTCATCCCTGTGTTATTATTTTCCTAAATTTTTACACAGTGTGTGAATGTCATTGTATTGATAAACAGTATACTATAGCCTTTGAAGGAGATAATTACATAGGTGGTTAGCAGGAGCTCTGGTGTAGTTTGCTCCTTCTTTCCTATCAAATATTGTAGTCCTTATCTCTCCTCCTTCTTTTTTGTGTTTGTTATTCTCTTGTAACTCCTCTCATCTTCAGCACTTACTTATAATATTACCTAATGTGTTGCAAGTGCCATAAAACACTTACTTAAACAAATCTAAGGAGGTAATTGCTGTTACGCTTACCAAAAGCTTGTTACAGAACCAGTGATCAGATCATCTGTCTTTATTTTTTCCATGTGAGGGTATTAGTTATTTAACCCCTATTCATATGTCATATTTACTATCATATCCTTATTACATGGGGAACTCTGTGCCACCACTTTTAAAGAGGAAATTTACTCGTTAATCCGATCCGTACGCTTTGCATGGCAGTCTTTAAAAATGATTTTTTGAGAAATACTGAAAGTTTCAAAAAGATCTTCGTACTAGAAGTATTTTAAAATTTGAAGAATTCAACCCCGGGGGTACAAAATGACCCCAGGGCGTACGGATAGGGTTAAGCAAGTTGGTTCTTATATCAGTCAGCACTATTAGAGGAGGATGTTGGAGTGAAGGCCCATAGTTTTGAATAACCGTAGTGTGTTGGAAGGGAAGAAAGCCCCCATTCCATGTCAAACGATTCCATGCTATACCTTATCATGCCTTCTTTGAGGGTGGTTGTCGGGTGTTCTGATGTGGTTTGCTCCTTCTTTACTGTCAAGCATTTATCGTTGATATCTCTCCTCCTTTTTTTTTTGTGTTTGTTATGTAACATGCCAATCTTTGTCACTTATATGACCTTATTGTGTTGCAAGTTCCATAATACTCCTACTAAAACAAAAACTAAAACACCTCTAATCTTAGTCACTTATATGACCTTATGGTGTTGCAAGTGCCTTAAATCTCTTATCTAAACAAACACCCTTTCATTGTGGTACAATGATTGAAGTATCTTGTATGTTTTCTGTGAAAACTCGCCAGCACCACAAGTGCTTGTCCCAACGGGCGCGTCAGCATCATCAGCCTCCACTGCGACCCCAAGCAGAAGGGCACGGGGGAGATACAGCTGCCGCCCAAGTGTGCTGATGGGACCTGCGACGGCTGCACCTTCCACTTCCTGTGGCTGACTCGGCACGCCTGTCCCGCCTGTCGCAAGGAGGACTACAAGGTGGTCCGCGGGGAGTGTGTAGACGGGGAGCAGGCGATTCACTACTTCCCACCACAGTGAGTGGATTCTGTCTCCGGCTGTCTTGTTTTTGGTTGTTTCTTTTTGTTTTGCTTTGTTTTGTTTGGTCGTGTGTTGTGTGTGTGTGGTGGGGGTGGAGGGAGGGAGAGGGGGGAAGGGGGTATGGATGGATGAAGAGTTTAACACTTCATCAGAATCAATAGGTGGAGTATATTGTGGTGCAACGGTTAGTGTACAGGAGAAGGAAGAAAACACACGCACATAGACATGTAATAATGATAATAATAATATTGATATTAATAATCATTGTCATAATATTGATAATAATCTAGCATTTATGCTACACATTTCTATTTTCTAAAGAAAAGTACTAAATGCGCATTATGACTCACTAACTTCCTCTCACTCTATCCCTCTCTCTCTCTCTCTCTCTCTTTCACTCTCTCTCTTTCACTCTCTCTCTCTCTCTCTCTCTCTCTCTCTCTTCACTTTAGCTCTCTCTCTTTCACTCTCTCTCTCTCCTCTCTCTCTCTCTCTTTCACTCTCTCTCTCTCTCTCTCTCTCTCTCTCTCTCTCTCTCTCTCTCTCTCTCTCTCTCTCTCTCTCTCTCTCGCTCCAGTCTCACTGTCAGGCATGCACATACTTGCTCGAGAAAATATAACATTACATCATTATGACAAGTAAGCATCTGGGAAAAAATAAAGCTTCAGCTGTTCTGTTGTTTCTTAAAAATTTGAATACTGTGGGGACATGCTTGCACTCACACACTTACCTGCATACTCACACACACACACGTGCACCCTCATGCACATAAAGTTTTCTCTACGTTTATAATGGGTTTTTTTCTTCTTGTTTTTCATTTTTTGCAATCGATTTTTTAAAACTTGTTTCATTTTCAGGCACTGTTTGGAGCTCTCGCAAGAAAGTTTGTCACCAATGAGCCAGAAGTGTCGAGTGCTGCCCTTTGCTGTGAGTTGAAAACTTGTCTGTTGTACTATCATTATATTAGTGTATATATTATCACCTGTCAACGGAAGGGGGAAGGGTGGGGGGGGGGGGGGAGAGATTGGGGTCCATCTCAGGGAGGAGGGAGATTGGTGGGTGAGGGTGAGAAGGCTTTCCTTTTGTTACTTTGCTCGGAGAGTGGTGAGCTTAATTTTCAGCTCTGTCAAAAAGGACCTTATGCCCTCTGTGTCTGTAAAAGTAATGTAGCAGAGTCATTTTCTGTAAATCCAAAGGCCCAGTTGCCTCACATTTTTATTATTTCTGTTATAAATGTGGTTCTTCTCTCATGTGCAGGTGATGGTGTCAATCCCAGTGATCCTGGGTACGGGCCTCTTCCTCATCCTGCTGCTCATCTACTGCTGGTCTCGCAACAAGAAGTGAGTGGCCCAGAGTTGACCGTATTGATAGACTGTCGTCTTTGTAGAGTCTGTATTGTCTTGTAATCACCTCATTTCATGCGACCAGCGTTCGGGGTGTAGCGGCTATGTGGTTTACAATGACACACAGGCACACACAATGATATAGTGCATTTTTTTTTGGTGTTCTTAACTCTTACTTTTATGAAACAGAAAGACTCTCTTTGCCACTCTGATGTTCTAAGTTGGAGTACAAATACATGTTATAACGGTCTTTTCTTTTTTCATTTTGAGACCTTTTTTTGTGCTTTTTCTCACTCCTGTCTACATTTTGCTTCCTCAGAATTGCAAAGTTCTATCTGTAGTTCTATCCGACATTTTTCTCCGTTTGGACTAGCTAAGACCATAAGGTCAGAAACCCAGTGCTCTATATACTTACTTTTTACTTTACTTTTTTCATCCTCTGTTGCCGTAAAGCGTCAAAGGGAGATGCAGTTTTCTATGGTAGGTCAGCTCCGCTGCTCTTTCAGTTGTGGTGTTATGTTTTCTTAGGGTTTCCATGACACCCTCGTTCCACCTTTTCCGTGGCCTTCCTCTTCCTTTATAGTCTGAGTGCTTGGTGTTTCAGGCTCTCGAGGCTGGCTGGTTAGGTGACATGCTTAACAGGTGGCCAAGCCATTTTATCCTCTGTCCTATGTAATGCAGGCAGGACTCAGTGCTGATAGCTGCTCTTACTTCTTCATTCCTCTGCCTGTCTCGTCTTGTGATGTTAAGGGTTTTGCGGAAACATTTCATTTCGCATGCAGTGATTTTGCTTTCATGGGTTTTGCTTAAAGTCCAGGTCTGGCACTGATAACATAATGTTGGTATGTATATTGAGGTGATAAGCTGTCTCTTTGTGTCCATGGAGATGTTTTGATGAGATAGGAGGGGTGCGAGCTGGTAGGTGACTGAGTTGGCTTTTTTGAGTTCGCATTTTCTGTTTCTCTGTCTATGGACCCATTTTCAGAAAAAGTGCTGCCAAGATATTTAAACTCCTTCACCTGTTTCAGTTGTTTATCTAAAACTGGTGGTTCTGTGATTTTCCTTCCATCCCGGGGTAGGAGATAAAGCAGTGGCTGTAGGTGCAATGCCACAAACAAAAACCCAACTCCATCACAGAGAGATTGTAAGAAAAATGAATGGGTATGTTGGTGTCTGTTGTATTATATTGAGAAGTTGTTTGAGGAGATAAAGAAGAGAAAGACGCTATTAAGAGCATAGTTGCTGTGTGTTGCTGAAATACAAAAATTATAATATAATAATAATAATAATAATAGTAATAATAATACCAATTGGAAGCTAGATTTCCCCCCCCTCCTACCATAGCAACCAAGTCCTCTCATCCGAGAGATGGGGGCAGGGGAAGGCATGGCAGATCCCAGAGGGTAAATGTTGTCAACAGGCAAGACGCAAATGGTCTCTGCACCTTCTCCACAGTCATAGGGCTCTCCGATAAGTGCATGCTTAATACATGTATGTAGCTGGGTATTCCCTACGTAAAGTCACATCCAGTACAGTGCTGACAATGAACCTCTGCTTTCCACCCCACCAATACCCGTCCCAACTCCAGGTCAAAGAAAGGTTGTCGATGGAGAGAGGAGAAAAGAAAAGTTAATAAATGTAATAAAGTAAAACAATAAAGACAATAAATAGAAAGAGTAAGAAACATAGTAAAGTAATATGTCTCTTTTCGGGGTCACCCCTTGACCCGTTAGCTTCCTCTTTTTCTTTTCCTATTCGAAGAGTACTAACCCCCCCCCCCCCCCCCACCACGAAGAAGTGGGTCTATTTAGGGGGGGGTTTCAGTTGTTTACTATTGACATTGATATTCAGGGGACCTTGGTTTCGGCTCACTTTCATAACTTCTGTTTTTGATGTGCTTATTTTCATGTTGAATTTCTCACAGCTGTTGTTGAGTTTGGTAGTGTAAATTTTGGAGGCTTTGTTAGTCATGATGAATAAGACATTGGTCATCTGCGAACAGAAATTCATTTAGGCTTTCTGGGCTTTGGTTTGCGTCTTGCGTTATTGCGTCCAAAAAATATTATAAACAAGAGGGGAGATAAAACACATCCCTGTCGTACTCCAGATCTTACTTTGAACCAGTCTGTATTGCCTTCCTTCGTTCTTACAAAGCTTCTGCTGTTGGTATATAGAGCTCTGACATTATCTAACATTTGTCCTCTGACGCCATACTTTTCGAGTGTCTTCCAGAGTTTTGCATGGTTTACTCTGTCAAAAGCCTTCTCCTGGTCTATAAAGACGATGTTGGATTCTTTGTTGGGTTCAATTGTTTTCTTGCATATCTGTCGTAATGCGAATACAGCATCCGTGCATCCTCTTCCCTTTCAGAATCCAAACTGAGCTTTTCTCAGATTTCTCTCAACGATAGGTCTTATGCGCTGCTCTAGTATCTTTGCTCATATTTTCCCTGAGTGGCTGAACAATGAGATGCCTCTGTATGTTGTGCAGTCGCGTTTGTTGCCCTTTTTTTCCATAATGGTACCACTATGGTTTTCTGCCAGTCGTCTGGGCATTTTCTTTGCTCCCTAGCTCTTTTGAAAGTTTGCCTCAGCCACAGTATACTGGTGTTTCCACAAGCTCTTATGGCTTCCGCAGTGATGTCGTATGGTCCTTGGGCTTTGTTCTTGGGGCTGGTCTTGAGTGCCTTTTCTATTTCACTGGGAAGTATTGGTGGTTCTGTTTGATCTCCATATACTCTATCAAAATCCTAAGATTATTCAGAGTTGTTATTGGGGTATTCAAAGAATTGCATTTTTAAGATATCGGAAACACTCTATACAGCGACAAAGCACAGCTGATTAAAACCTGCAAATTCTTTGCCATATCGACAGACCGAAGGGCTAGAACCCGAATGGCCGCTGGATCGGGAAAGTAAAGTAAAGTAAAAAACTTAACGCGTTGTGAACCTCAAAACTTTTGGCGTCAAATTTTCCTAACTAGATACTGAGCAGATAGAACTTTGTAATTCTAAGGTTGTGATTTGCCTTCCATGTGGAGGTTGGTTGGAAGGTTCCACTAGTTGGTAGGTCCCACTTTTTTTCTTTCCTTCTTTTTTTGTCTGTCTATCTTACTTTTCCCCTTTATTTAATGACAGTTACTGTGCTCATATCCTTCTCTTTGTCAAACAATCTTCCACCTGTGCTAGGGGTGGGTGGTTGGAGGGCACTGCTGGTAGGTCCTACTTCTTTACTTTCCCTCTGTTGTTTCTGTCTGTCTTATTTTTTCCCAGCACTAAATGACCATAATGGCGTCGATGTGCTTCTCTTTACTCAAACAAACGAACCACCTGTCCTGTGGGAGGTTGGTGGGAGCTCTTGTGTGATTTGCTCCTTCTTTCCTACCGTCCTTATCTATCCTCCTTTTTTGTGTTTGTTACTCTCTTGTAATGCTTCTAATCTTCTAATCAGACTTCTATCGTCCTTATCTCCCCTCCTTCTTTTTGTGTTTGTTACTCTCTTGTAATGCTTCTAATCTTCTAATCAAACCTCTAGCGTCCTTATCTCCCCTACTTCTTTTTTGTGTTTGTTACTCTCTTGTAATGCTTCTAATCTTCTAATCAAGCCTCTATCGTCCTTATCTCCCCTCCTTCTTTTTGTGTTTGTTACTCTCTTGTAACACCTTTAATCTTTGGCACTTATATATGACCTAATTGTGTCGCAAGTGCTGTAAAACACTGACTAAAACAATAGCAACAAAAAAAAACCCCACCTGTGCTCCTGTCCTTCTCTTTGCTCCAACATGCTCTCCCCTGTTCTCATTTCCTAATGTCCTAATGTCCTGTCTGATGTCCCAGGCTGGAGTACAAGTACATGAAGCTGGTGGAGACGGCCGGCGGCCATGACGGGGAGCTGCCCGCGGCAGACACGTGCGGCATGGAGGACGAGGACGAGGACGACGTACATTTCGCCGATGAGCGGACTGGAGCCAGCTTCTTCAGCAAAATCAGGGAAAAGTTTGGCTCAAGTAACAGAATGAAGGTAAATGCCGCCGTTTTCTTTTGTTTTAGAAAGACTTTTTCGGCACTTGTGTCATAATAAGGTCTTATGAGTGCCGAAGGTTAGTTACAGGAGAGTAACAAACACAAAAAGGAGCGGAACATAATTCATGAACGAGCTGTTAAAATGTACAAAGTTGAGAATTTAACATTTTACAAGAGAGAGAAAAATCTGTTGCATTCTCTTAATAGTTGTACCTACATTATGTATGTTTTCTTTCTTTTTTTGACATTAAGAATTTGAATTTCAAAAAAAGTACTTCTTGAGCACATGCAGCAGATACCACAGATTTAAAAAACTGGAATTTTTTTTTATGTTTAAAATTTTGGGCTGAGCTTATTTTAACAGCTGGCCAACATTATGTGGAATGAAACTGAAAAATGAGTGTGGAAAGTACCTTTTTTGAGAATGTGACATGGTATCTGAAAGAGCCCGGAATCAAAGTTACAGTTTTTTCTGCGGCAATTATGACTCTGAACTTTTTGACTAAAGCTCTCCCCCGTGAATTTGTAAACAAAATGAAGGTCTTGTCTGTGATACATATTGTCGAGTAGCTGTTAAAATGTAGGCTTCTCATCCCAAAATTTGGAGAACAAAAATGTTTGATGTGGTTTCTTAATCCGTAGTATCGTTTGCATGTATTTAGGAATATTTTTTTTTTCAAAATTCAAAATCTAAATGTTGAAAAAAAGCAAGAAAAAAAATGTAGGTACAATTGTTAAATGAATGAAACTGTTTTTTCTCTCCCCTGTAAAGTATTTTGCTTTCTCATCTTAGTGCATTTTAACAGTTTGCTGCTGATATACAAGATTTACAAATGATTACGTTCTCTTTAACTCTGCCATGGACATGTTCTGATATACCCACGAACACATCACCATGCTCATTCAATAAAAGCTCAAGTCATTTTGGGGACAAACTGAGCTATGACTTCATCTAGATAATTTGATTAGTTCCCCAGATTTCTGTCAGAAGTTGTTTTAAACTTTGATTTTTAATGAAACAAAGCAAAAATGTTTTTTTTTAAATTATGTGTCATGTCTGTTTTGTAAGTACAACAGTTTTTATTTTTCTCAAAACGCTAAAAAAGGACTTAAGCAACTATTGAATGAGCGTGACGACATGCTCCTGCACTGGGGCTTTTGTTCGCTGAGCAATACATGTCAACATTGGGGTCCAGTGGTCAGAATTCTCTCATTGCAGGAAATATTAAATGGGATGAATTTTAATGATGATAATAATAATAATAATAATAGTAATGATAATAAAAAGTGTAGACTTGTTGTCTCTAAAGTAAAGTGTTTTTTCTACTTATTCAATGACTAACTGGCTTTTTTTCCCCCCTGTTTACCTCACCAGGATGATGATAATCCTTTTGTCGCTGTGAAGATGTCTGAGAAAATGTCACTTACGTAAGTCACGTGCCACCGCCAACCACTGCTTCACGCCATTAGCTAGAGGGCCACGCTCGTTATGGATTGTCGCAGATCTGTGTGGAGAACAGAAAGATGTCGCCCATCGCTGTATCTGTCACTTGTTTGCTAACGTAGTATTGCCTGGCTGTAGAAAGTTGTCTTTGCTGTCAGTGTTTGGAAGGTTGAAATATTATGGATTGTGGTCTAGTTCTGTTTGGTTTCTTTGCGTCCAGTAAAAGTAAGGCATATATATATCTTTGCTAATTTTTTTTAGGAACGAAAACATTAGAACATGCTGAGGTGTTTGCAAATTGCTCTTTATTTTGAAAATACCATTAATCCTCCCTAAATTCTTATTTGTTTGTGCAGTAATCAAAGTTTGCACCATTTGAAGGTTTTTCACGTAGAAATGAAAGGGAAATGACTGTGCTTAAAAAATTTGCATCTTAACCAAAATTTCTGTGATTGGTTCTGTCTTGTAGGTTTTTTTCGCAACTGTAGTCTCATTTGCAGACTGCCTGATGGGGATAATGAATCTTCTTACTAATGAGATTTAAAATGCTTGCTACAGGAAGTTTTGTAGGGTTTAGAACTGTACGTTGAAGTCATATATCATCGTCTTGTGCTGATTGGGTGCCAGTTTAATTGAAAGTCTAGCACACTACTGTGGTCCACCGTAAGTCCTGCCCAGTCAATCATGATTTACTGCTATCTAGGCTGTATAGCATAGCGTAAGTCCTTACTTATTGGGTATGGTAGTAACTGCACTAGGGGCATTTTGACCAACGGTGGTGGCGTTACACTATTGTGGTGTGTGGAGGGGGGTGGACTGCTTCATTTAGCGGTGTTGTTTGAATGAAAAAATTTTTCCTGTGGTAAAAGGTATAATTAACAAGTAAGTCACGACAGCAAATGACCAGACAGGACTATATTCAAGAAAACATGGGGCCTGCCAACCTTCCGTTGATGAGCATTTGATTCCCGGATGGGGAATGTGTTTCTAATGGGATGCACTATTCTACTCAATAGTCTGAATTGTGTTGATAAGTGGAATGTATGTGAGTCATGTTACAATCAAACATAATATGGAGCATCTTATTCCAATTGAAGAAACCATAGGTGAGTTTTCGAATGTGTTGGTATGGAATATTAGATCTCAAAAGAAATCAGTGGAATGGGAAAATGTGCTTTGCCTGTCCTAAGCGGATGTTTATGGAAAAAGTTATTTGGGCCACCTCCTGTCAAATTTTGATGTATCTTTCAGTGATGATGCGGCCTTCAGAGACTGGGAGAGATTAACATCTGTTTTTGACAGAAGATGCTATATATAGAAAGTAACGTTGACTGGGCTTTCTCTAATGATGCATACGTGTTGTGAATTATATTACCCTATGGCTTTGCACGTGTTACAGAGTTGTGGTTGAGCAATGTGTAAGATAATCTAATCCTGTCTTCATTTTTGCTCTCATTTATGTGCTCAAACTCATTGTGTCTGAAGTTACACAAAAAGTTAATCGCATTATTTTTTTTGTATTGATTGAATTACCAACTGCTGTAAATATATATGTGTTTATACATTTCGTCATGGTACTGAACAAATGGCCTTAGTCATTTTTTCCCCTTTTGAGAAAACTTTTAAAAAAACATTATCATTTCTTCTATAATTGGGATTTAGGCCATTTTGCAATTTCTTGAATTTAAAAAAAAATGTGTTGGCACTTTTTTTTTAAAGTTATAAAGAAACATGAATTGGAAACATTGAATGAAAGTCATTACCAAATTCAATTCTATGTAAATTCAGAAATGGTCTAAGTCTGACTTGGTCTATTTGCTCAGCACCATGACGATAAGGTAAGCCTCAGACATAAATGATCTGCCTCTGAACTTGCTACCCTGAGAAGATGCCTGAGCTGGTGGCTTGTGCTTGTTAAGATTCTTCAGATCACACGAACGATTCAAGTACAGTGGACTTTGTGTAGAATGATTTCTGAGAGAGTTACTTTTGGATGTACTGATGCTGTTGTTGCGTCCTCCAACAATAATAGAAAGAAGGTAAGAAAAATGTGATTTACATTGAGATGTTTTATTTTATGGGAGGAGGGGGGGGGGGAATTGTTTTTCTGTGTCCTCCATTGTTTAAAGGAAAGTCCATTGTTAAACCTATGCCATGATTTTCTGGAATGGTACAGGCGCAGGGTATGAACATTTGTTTTCTAACCTGATGGTTCTTATGCAGTTGCGAGCGCCGTAAAACCCCATACTATACTACTAACCTGATGATAGTTTTTTAAATATCAGACCTGGATGGTTTGTGCTTGAGGCGGTCGCTGATGTTGGCTTTTATTGTTGTGTGGGTTGTGGCTTGTCAAAAGACAACTTTACTAAACCGTGTCCTTTGCCATTTTTTCTCAGCTTTTCTACCTGTCCATTCAACATAATAATATTGTTTTATTCTGTGTTCATTCGTATGTCTTGTGTGTCTCAATTGATCTGATCATTTTGTTTTCTTAACTAAGGATCTCTTTGTTGTGATTGTCCTGAACTTTTGGGTTTTTTTAGGGGGGGGGGGGGGGTTTGTTTGTGTTTTGTTTTTGTTCTGTTTTGTTTTTTGTTTTTGAATGAACTACTATTCTGTGTTTTTCACTATGATTTATGTAAACGACATTTTATTTATTTATTTTTTAAAATCTTGCTTTGCTGTGTTCAGCCAATATCTATGACATACCTCCTGTGACTTGTGACTTACTCATTTGAGTCAGTATTCTTCTCTCTCTCTCTCTCTCTCTCTCTCTCTCTCTCTCTCTCTCTCTCTCTCTCTCTCTCTCTCTCTCTCTCCCTCTCCCTCTCTCTCCCTCCTTCCCTCCCTCCCTCCCTCCCTCCCTCTCTCTCTCTCTCTCTCTCTCTCTCTCTCTCTCTCTCTCGCTCTCTCTCTGTCTCTCTCTCTCTCTCTCTCTCTCTCTCCCTTCCTCCCTCCCTCCCTTTGATTCTGTCTGTTTGATTTTCATGTTTACAGATCCGAGCAACCACCTTTGGTCTTCCGTGTTTTTATTTTTTAATTCATCTCAGTTCTTTGAAGAAACCTGTTTGTTCTTTTCATTTATTTCTGGGATTCTAGGCATTTTACTGCAGCACAAAGAGTTCAGTATGGTAGAGTAGGACTAATGCATGTGTGATAGGTTAAGAGGGAAAGTGGTAGATTTCTTGGCTGCCCTTTTAAGCTGGAGTAGAAAATTGAATGTGGTAGAAGAAGTCTGGGTTTTTGTAAGCTTGACAAGGAATTTGGTAGATGCTTAGGGTGGAGCTTTTGGGTGGTCTTAATTGCTGGATTCCTGATTTGATAGATTTTTTACTTTTTTTTTTTAACTTCTGAAGAGGGAACTGTCAGAGATCATGCAGTATGCCATAGTGGAAATGAGACAGGATAAAGTTATGCCATGAGTGGCATGAGTGTGCATTTCTGAAAAAGGTCAAAAGGACTGAGCATAAGTATAAGGAACTTCACTTTTACTTTTACTCATTCCATTTTTCTGTCACTCCTAAGTTTATCATGTCTTTTTCTCTCCCCCCCCCCCCCTTTAGCTCTCTGCTTTGAATATATGTTCATGTATTATATATAGGCCTATATATTTAACCCAAACCAGATTATGTGATTTCTTGTAATGCCTGCAAGGTTTCGATGCTTTAATTTTTTTCCTGTTTTGTCACTCCCTATCCTTTCTTGCCATTTTCCACAATTCTGTCTCAGACAAAGATTTTATTTATTTATATATCTTTTCATATATATATTATACCTTTCCGATTGATTTCCAGTACATGTATGTTGTATTATGTGCATCTGGGGTTTGGGGGGGGGGGGGGGTTGGGCCAAAAAAACCGTTTTCTCCTTTAACTGTGATGGTTTTGGTCAGTTATGCTGACGAATCTTGTATTTTGTTGTATTCTAGTCGCGTTGTGAAATCTGTAGGCCTACTCTCACGTTTAAGGGGGTGGCTATTTTTGTTTTGTTTCTTGTATTGATTCTACATCTTTCATGAATAGAAATCCATTTTTTTAGTGCAATATGGTTTCTTAAAGAGCCCTCCATGTTTTAAGATTGCTGGGGGGGGGGGGGGGGGGGGTTTTGGTCATTATATTATATTAGTCTGGGGGTTGTTGTTGGTTGTTTTTTTTCCAAGTGTAATAGATCTACTTTATGAGCTCCTTTTGTAAAAAAAACCCAAAAAAACAACATATGTGACTCATATTCAGGTCACATAGTTTGGGACCAGTTCAACCTCTGAGGTCAAAGTGGGTGTTCTCTATTTAACAAATGAGAAAGTTCCGGTGTCTTGAATTATAACCATTTAGCCTGGCTCAACTATTAGTTGAGAGGAAACTTTGAGTCACTGGCCACTTATAAATCTTTATTGCTTGTGTTTGAAGAAAAGACTGAAACAGTGGATCTTCCAAGGTAAAGGAGTCTGAAAGTAATGCTTGAGTGTCTTGTGGGTTTTTATAAATCAAGATTTGTATCAATTTGGAAAAACCCAACTTTTTCTGTCTTCTTAATGGCTGTTCTTGACTTGTGGTTCATCGATGGGAAGTGCAAGTATTTATCCTATTGGTTTTATTTTGGCATATTATTTTTTTAGCTTGTGTTCCTGTTATTTAGTGATGCTTTAGTTTATCAGGGATTTTTCTAAGGTTATTTTTTGTTGTTAAATGCAGATTACCCATGAAACATTTATTCTGATTTTTTTTTTAATCTTTTAATTTTAAGTTTTGTGTGTTTGAATTGATTTTGTTCTCTTTCTGTGCATATTTTATGTTTATCATGCATTTTTGGGAGCTGGGCATTTTCTCATTTGTCTTGTCTGATCTGAATGTATTGTCTGCCGTTTGATGATTTTGTGTGCGTTGGATTCATACATTCACACAGTCTGTGTAAAAAGTTGATGTTTTTCTCAAGCCCATAGAAGTGTTTGAAACTTTTAATCAACTTAATTGATAATCATGCTTGAAACTTTACTTTTTTTTGTTCCTGAAAAGAGTGTCACTTAAGGAAAACAGTAACCGTGTTTCTCGTGTTAATCAACATTCCAAGTTTCCTCCTCCAAATTCAGAATCTGTAAATTCCATTTTTATACACTTTTGATTCTATGTCATTTTTCGTTTTGAATTTAAAACATGTTCTTATGAAATAATAATGGAAGTTTTTTTAAAAACTTTGTTTTGTGTCAGAGAGTTTTTCCGAGAAGTAGATGGACCAGAATTAAGTTGTCAATTCATTCTGAAAGGGTACCTACACTAGATCTACATTTTTTTTTTCACCAAATCAACCACTCCTAGTTGACTTACTAGTTGTAACATTCCTATCTGTAGGTGGCTGGTGGGATGTGAATACTTTCTTTCCTCACTCAAGTGTAAGGGTGAACTGGTCATGGTTGTCTGCTGGGTAGTTAAATTGGAACAACAGTTTGACCAGGAATTGATCTGCTGGAGTTATCTGTTCCAGTTCATGTCTAGTGTAGTGGTGGTGGTGGTGGTGGGGGATGGGGGGGATTTGTCTTGCATTTTGGTGAAATGCAAGGATCTTTGTCTTTCCTGGCCGTAAAGTTAAAGAGATTGTTAGATTCTGACTGTGCTAGATGTTGTGAATCTGTTTGTTTTGGGGGTTGGGGGGGGGGGGGAGTTATATGTCTTTGTAAGATGGCTATTTATATAAATGTGTGTGGGGGGGGGGTATTTTTCAAAGAGGAAATATCTGCTTAAATTGTCTTTTGCACAAACTATGAATTCCCGCCTTTCCTGTTCTCCCAACATATTATGTCAAAGTTGGTCTTTTTCCTTTGTCATGAAATTTGTTGTAGTCAATGAGCTCTATGTGCTCTTAAATGTCTTAGCTCTCTGTTGAGCATCGCCACGACTGAGGGGTGTATTCCTTTTCTTTCTCCATATATTGTTTGGATTAAATTATCTTCTAACAGAAACCAGTATTTTTTTTTCCCAACGGCAACCTCTGAGAAATCGTTCTCGATGTACATATAAAACTAAAACCATTAATTTAGACACCGTATTTGCAGCTGAAAGAATATGTTGGGGGGCTTTTTTGTGCATCTTTTTCTGTGCCTGCCTGGCCTTTTAGAAACCCCTTGAAAAAACTCTGTCTTTTGTCCCCATCACATCAGCAAGTTGTATGAATCATATTTCTCTATACTATTCACTATTGTGAACTACTGTAACGCTTTTGTCCTGGTTTTGTTTGAGATTAATTTGCAGCCAGCCAGTTAGGAGTGCATTACCTTTCAGGTGGCTCCATCTGCTCTGTCACTTTGTGAATAAAATTTATTGAAAGCTGTCAAAAATGTGTGAAGCTCTGTGTGTGCTGTTAGGGTTTGAAATGTTATCATCATCATCATAATAATTCATATTATTATGATTCATATCCCAAATGAACATTGTTCTGTGCTGAGCTCATCATTTCGGTAGCCAGCTGTAGATCTGAATTGATCACATAAACTTTGTCTGTTTTTAAAAACCATGCGGGTGGTTGACGAGTGCTCTGGTGTGGTTTGCTCCTTTTCTATCAAACATATCCATCATCTTAATCTCTCCTCCATTTTTGAGTTTGTTACTCTCTTGTAACACCTCGAAGTG